AAAGGTGTCAGTAGAAGGCTTCCAGTTTAGTCCCAGAGAGTGGATGGTTAATTCTTCATCGAGCGACAGAGACGATGAAGTTAGTTGATTTTCGGCTGGAATCGTTGACAAGATCGATGGATCGTTGCTTGCCAATTTTTTAAGAGGAAAACCGCCCGCCATGAAAAGTTGATTCACTTGTCGTACTGTTTCTTGCACTTGTGATACCGAGTCGGCTCCGCCAAAAACGTCATCCACGTATCTTCCCTGGGTGAGACTTGGAACGGCTAGAGGGTATTTATCTCCCTCGTCCTTGATTAATTGCAGTAACGTACGTAGGGCAAGAAAAGGAGCACACGCTGAGCCGTATGTGACCGTAGTGAGTTGGAAAGTAAGAACTTCATTCGACCGATTGATCCACAGTATCCGCTGAAAGTCCCAATGAGACGGATGCACCTGTATCTGGCGGTACATCTTCTCAATATTTGAAGAAAAGACGTAGCGGAATTGACGGAACCATGTGATTACATCAAGCAATTCGGTTTGAAGTTCGGCTCCGGTGTGAAGGAGGTCATTCAGAGAGACCCCGGTTGAAGTTCGACTTGAACCGTTGAAAACTACGCGAAGTTTCGTGGTGAGGCTAGCATCACGAAGAACACCATGATGCGGCAAATAATATGTTAGAGTGGGCTCTGGATCAGAGGGTGGAACCAACTGCATGTGCCGAAGAGATTCGTATTCCGTCAAGAAATTCGTATACGAGTCCTGATACTGTGGATTGGATGTGAGTCTCTTCGAAAGGCGATAAAGCATTCGTAGAGCGTTGCTTCGTGAGTTTCCTAATTGAGTGGGAGCTGATTTAAAGGGAAGTTGAACCGTGTATCGCCGGTTCGAATTGCGAGTATGAGTAGATTGGAAATGCATCTCGCAATCTTGTTCATCGGCTGACAGAGGGGACCGTCTCGTAGTTGGGGGTTCTTCCAACTGCCAAAATCGTTGGAGGATGTCGTGGAGCACGTGATCAACAGAGATATGAAGAGTTTGAGCTTGACTAGAAGAAGGAGTAGTACCAGTTGGACCAGAGATAATCCACCCCAAGGTGGTAAACTGTGCGATGGGAGAGTTAGCTGGCCCTTTTATGATTCCTTTGGCTATGATTTGACTATATATCTCAGCTCCTAATATGATATCGACAGAACCAGGCAAATTGAATTCGGGATCGACAAATTCTAGACCTTCAAGATGATTCCATGAATCAGGGTTAATCTGAACTGACGGAATGGTCGAGGTTAGCTTTGGAAGAACATGAGCTGAGATGTGGAATTTAGAGTCCGACTGAAAGTGAGGCTTAATTGTTAACGAGACTATTCCTCTTGGCTTATTGGACTTTTGAGCACCGATGCCGACTAGCGTGATAGAGACCTGCGCCGAGGAAGGCAAAGAAGCTGGGAGAGGCGTTCAGAAATGAGCGAAATCTCTGAGCCTTGATCAATCAAGGCTCTCGCTTGGGTTCGGATCCCTTTTGGAGAGATGACGGTCACTCGAGCGGTGGCTAGAAACACCGAGGATGCAATCCTTCGATCAAAGGAGGAATAGTGACTTCGAGCTTCGGTTGATTTTGAAGTTCCGGGAGCTTCGTTGTGCGGAGGATTTGAATGGGAAGCAGAATTAGATGACTTAGCTTGATGAATCGTGGTATGGTGCTTTTTCCCACACTTCGTGCAACGTTTTAAAACTCGACATTCAGAGACTCGATGCTGCCCAAGACAATTATAGCACAACTTCGTTCGAGAAATAGTTTCCAGTCGCTGCTGTATGGACTTATTAAGGTACTGAGGGCAGTTAATGATATAATGACTTGAGGAACACAAAACGCATTTTTGAAAGTTGTCGGCTCGAAGGACCAAAATGTTTCGGATGTGGTCGCCGATGGTCTCTTTCTCTCTCTGGAGGGGGGAGCGATGGCGTATCGATCGGTAGGTGGAGAGCTTTCCTGATGATTTAATGCGTGGTCCCCTCTGCAGAGGGCCCGACGCCGAGTAATTCGTCGACTTGCCCCTCTCAACTGAGTGTCTCCTTGTCACTGGTCACTTCAGCGTGTTTTTATAATTCCGAATACGTCACGAATGTGTCGATGAACAGATGCGCTTTCGACCGCTCGCTGAATAGAACCGGCGACTCAAAGCTGCGACAAAGGGCCTGAGTCCTTCCGAAGTTCGTCTTCGGCGGCCGGGAGGATGTTTAGATTTCTCGGTAAACAGATAAGAGGGCCCAGGAGAGGAACGGACAGAAAATTGAGACGCATTTCGAACAAATATCGACTATAATTATCAACCATAAAATCTATTCGTTGTGCTACTATTCATTAAACTTGGTCAATTGTTCAGTAACCAGTTATTGGCACAAAATTCAAAAGGAATGCAAAACTATTTAGAATAAGAAGTTCATAATTCATTCAGCTATTTATACTTTGATTTAAACTAAAATATATTTGTACACCTCAGTTGTACTGATATATAAATTAATAATGTGACATACAATTTTTTTAATTTTTTTGGTGGCTCCTTTCTCCATATTCTCTAATGTCAATGGCTTCTTTCTACTTGATGACATTCTCTTACTAGATTGAATCAAATTCCTTTCTTCTTTGGCATTTGATTTCGATGACATTTTTTTCAACTTCTTCAGTTCATTGTTCAAAAACTTGCTGTTATCTGAAATATTTGTATGAAATGAAAGAATGTTAAGACATCAAAGTAACATAATAATAGTCGCATAGTAAAATGGAATTATTTTAAGTAAGAAATAATAAAACACAAATTTATAACAACCATTACGCAGTGCTGGAGGTCTAAAACGTTACTTCCGACGTAACTACGAAATAGAACTAACTTTGGATGATGCAACGAATTTCAGTCGATCTCCGCATTTCTTTGTTATCCTAACCTGTGAAGTCACGTGGCCTCAGAGGTCCGGGCATTACACTCCGTCCTTTTTTCTTTTCGTACCTTCTAGCAGTACAGTCGTTCCATTTATTCATTATTTTTGTTTACTACAATACTTGACCTTTAAAAGTTTTCACCTTCATACAATTTAATTATTAATTACACTTTATGGTAAAGAAAATGACCGCAATGATACCTCTGATACCACGTGTCTCTATTTATCATACTATAATAGAATGTCTGTTATTAAGCATCCTATAAGTAAAGATAAGAACATAAGAAATTAATATTTATATACTGGCTTACCTGAACGCGTAATTACTTTTCCCTCATACTTCAAATTCTGCCAAAAAAATAACACTTTGTCACCATTGTTCGGCGGCTGACTTTCGTCGTAAATAACTTCCTCGTCTTGTACAATGCTGTAGGAACCATCCGCATCACAATTTATGAGAAACATGTTTCCAATGTTTGTCACTAGTGTAACTTATTGACAGCAAATAAAATCACAACGCACTACGCACTTCAGTGAACCATTTACTGCGGATCGCAGCGTGATAGAGACGCACATTGAGGCGCATGGCGCCATTATAGTTGCGCATGCGTGATTGTTTCTGAGGCGTAGAGGGCAGTAGGATGCTAATATTTCAATGTGATCATACGGAGCTGTTCTTTGTAATTGACACGTGCACACTTTGTTAAACGCAGAAGAACGCGTTAAAGATACAATATCAATTTTATTAGTAGCAACATAAATCTTGCATGATATTGAAGGTATATTAAAAATAGTATACAGGCTACGATACGTAAGTACATGTAGGATACAGTAGTCGTACATATAGTATATATATGTACTTTTTACTATACTATAGTATGTGCATATGCATTGTAACGTGGTGGGCTCGATGCCCCCTCACGTTACGGGGAATTAGGTCCATCGGAGGATGGGCCTGGTCCCCTGCACCCTTTATTCTGAATATATTAGACGAAGGAGGTCCTCCGATTACCTCTTGGAGTTCGATGCTATCGGTCACTACTCCAGGAAAAATCCCGCATATCCTTTTAATGCTGCGTAGGGCCAGGTGGGCTACAGGAAATAATTGATATCAGGACCTCTCTTTTGCTCTCTCTCTCTCTCTCTCTCTCTCTCTCTGATCGACGGACACTTCTCCAATATCAAACCTAAGAGATATGGGGGGGGGGGGGAGGCCAATAGGGCAAGATTAATAATCATTCAAGACCATGAGAGAATTTTAGGAACCAAAGTTACCTGGCGGTGCGGTCGAGCCGGGACGGGCGGCGTCAAGGCCTAACCTCGAAAGGGCCTCCGCGGATCGAACTGGCGGATTTTGGGGAAGCCGATATCGGCTTGGAAATCGTGGGCGAGGAGTCCGAAGGAGGGCACTCGCAGTCCCTCGGCCGCAACCAAGAGCCTGTCACCGGCCCAGAAGTTGGCGGTGCCGGTTGACAGGCGAGGTTATGTTTCCCGGCGCGGGCACACGGGTGCCCGGGGACCGGCGAGCGGCCGGTAGGAAGGGACGGGCGCCGCGCGCGCGGGATGCGGCGGCGGCCCGAAGCACGGCGTTACCGGCCTGGAAGGACCCCGCAAGGGGGGTCCGGCCAATCAGAGGCAATTACGCCAACTTGCCATCGATCTTCGGATGGCCTAGATCCGGCTCTGATGAGCGATCCGAGGCGCGTGCCCCTGGCCAATGGCCGAAGCTATAGGATGCGCTGGCCAATCGGATCGGTCATCGGTTGGGGGAGGTGGCCGGCGTCGCGTGCCCGGCTCGCACGTGTTGTCGGGTAATAAAAAACAAAGGGAGCCTGGCTCCTTCTTCGTATCTGGACCACTGACGAGTGAGGACGTGCAGAGAAGCGAGTTTGAGATTTTGAGAGTATGAGAGAGAGAAAGAGAGAGATCGAGAGGAGACTCGAGCCTCCGTTGCAATTTAAGGTATTGGCCATACGGCATTGAATATTGTTTTTAGATAATGTTGAGGCGTCCGGTCCCTGTCTAAAAGGGCCGCGCCATTTTTGTGTGAATGTAAATTCAGTGACCGGTAGCAGCGTAGAGGACGCGATCGTAACGTATAATAAGTAGCGTTATTTAGACCGGGAGCCCGCGACCCCGAATAGTGCGAACTGCGAGTGTAGATTCGGGAAGTAGATTCCAGTGATTTAGCGTCGCCCGGTGGCGACTGGCGACCATTCCGCGAGTAATAGAGTTCGGGCGTCGAGCTTTGGGACGGAAACCACGTCGCAGTATATACATATGCTATAGTATAGATANATCACTGATAAAGGAAACGTCGAAATACAAATTTCACCGAAGAAGACGCGACTCGTACATCCTAATCGGTTGAAGAGGGCAAAGACGCACCTTCGAGACGGATAAAACCGGGATCGCGCCGCATTAAAACATGTATAATATCAATATAAACGCATACATACACGCGACGCACGCATATAATTACACATACATATATACATATATACATATATATACCCATATTGGCGAATTTGGGGTCGAAATTGAGTACGGATTGTATAATTTGAGGACTTTTGCATAATTTGAGGTCGGTCCCCAAATTGATATACCCCTTTCGTATAATTTGAGGACCGACCCCGAAGTACGATGTATATACCTATTGACNATTGTATAATTTGAGGACTTTTGCATAATTTGAGGACCGACCCCGAAGTACGATGTATATACCTATTGACTATTTTGAGGACTATCCAATTCGATGACCTCAAAATGGATAATTTGTATAAATACAGAGTTATACGTATGGACCAATTTGAGGACCTTGCCCATTTAATGTACTTTGGCAATAACATGTTGTTTCTGGACGATTTTAAGAATATGTAATACAATAATTCTTGTTACAAGTGAGCTGTCATAATTTTTACAATACATATATATATCGTGACCGTCATAAGTTTTTCTGGTCTTAAAAAAAATAAAAATCAGCTATTCATGTTTCCAATACAGAAATATTTATTTACAAGAATTATGTGTTACTGCGTAAATGCGGTCGGAATGAAACAAACTATAATTTTTCACTGTTGTAATTAAATTGTTTTTCATCCTACTGCAATAATATCTTCCCCGTTATTGACCCTCAATACCTGAAATTCGTGAAAGGAATTTTCATCTTCTAAAGTTAATAAAACATAATGTTATCATTGTGAGTGTTACCGCTGAAATTCGCGAAATTCGTATGCGATCGGGGCGCGCCCCTTGTTCGGGCCGCCCTTGTGCCTTGTACACTGGACTCCATCGATGGCTTGCACCTGGTCCGCACTGCCCTCTCCGGCCGCGCAGCGTACTAGCGGCGGGAGCAGCGCGGAATTCGAANGGGTCGCCTTGTGCCTTGCACACCTGCTTAGTACCCCCCAAATTACATCTTACAAGTTAGTGTTAGCATCCATCATTGTCTAGTGCAGATAACAAATAATAAATGTATATGTATTACATTTGATTTTATTTGAATACATTACAGTATATTTGGAAAAAGATATTGTAACATTTGGCAAAAATATCTGAACCCGAGTTGAACAATTTGTTGCATTTGTAGGTCACAAAAATGTATTTGGCAAAGTTTTTTTACACTGAAGGTATTTTTGAAGAGATGTCACTACTTTTTGTATCATAATATAACGTAAAAGAAAACATGATATTTAAAATAATGTAAAAATCATTACGAATGAATACTAGTCATTGCTGGACTTTAAGATCTGTAAAATTAAAAAATTTTTAAATGAGTACAAATGAAAATGTTAGTCATCGTTGGACTTCAAGATCTGTATAATTTAATAATTTAAAAACAAGTACCAATAAAAAATACTAGTTACGTTGGATTTTAAGATCTGTTGTAACGGGGCGAATGGGGAGCGCTTGCGNCGCGCTCCTTATTTGGGCCGGCCTTGTGCCTTGCACACCTGCTTAGTACCCCCCAAATTACATCTTACACGTTAGTGTTAGCATCCGTCATTGTCCAGTGCTGATAACTTCAAAATCGCGGGCATGGTTTTGGACGAAAAATATCATTTTCGGAATAATAAATGTATCTGTATTACATTTGATTTTATTTGAATACATTACAGCATATTTGGAAAAAGATATTGTAACATTGAGCAAAAATATCTGATTCTGAGGAACTATTTTTTTGCAATTGTAGGTCACAAAAATGTATTTGGGAAAGTTTTTTACACTGAAGGTATTTTTGAAGAGATTTCACTACTTTTTGTATCATAATATAACGTAACAGAAAACTT